AATCAGGATTTCAGTTAAAAGTTTGAAGTTAGAAGGAGAACCAAGCTTGAAGTAGTTATCTGAAACTTAAAGAACTGATTGTCTGTCATCTTACGTTTGCTCAGCTGTGCTTACAATGGGAAGAGACAAAACTGGTAAGCAGGCCCGAAGAAACATATACAATTGCAAACAGAAACCCATTCTTTGAATAACTGGACTATACTCAGAAATCATTGGTATTGTCATTAATAGAAAAGGGTCGAGAGTTCAGGGAGAGGAAGGCTCCTCTTACTTCCTCCTTTTAAGACCCCCTCCCCACAAAAACAACCCCAGATTTAATTTAAGAAGCCATTTATGCATGTTTAATAGCTATTCAAGCTAATTACCATAGGAAGCAGGGGATGGGAGGGACTGGTATTATGAATATGTATTTGTCTGAATCTTTTGTCATTAAATAGACTCTGTGACCACCTGTCATTTTGCAGTGCGTATTAGGGGGCTACTCTACGCTGCTGCCCAGCACTGAATAAAACAGACACTTTCTAACTTTAAATTTTTAGAGAGCCTTTTGTCTGTCACAGTTGAGTATCAGTATTAGGCCTATATTCATATTTTGGTAAATCAGTTGGCGACTCTGGTGGGACCCTGTTCTCTCTGGCTGAGGGGCCAGCGGGGTTTGGGACCCCTCTAGGGCACCTGCCTGGGATCTTCCTAGGAGAGGGCTCCTTTTCCTCGCTGGCACCATGGGGAGCAGAACTAGAACTGCCGGAGACACGGACAGAAAGGTATGTTTAAAAATTAAAGATAGGTACCTTTAAGAGAACCAAATTCATACGACACTGTGAAATATTGTGTGCATTATGAAAAGGCCTAAAGTGGATTTGTTTGTAAGTTTCCGCAGAATTTGCTCCTGGTTTGTGCTCCAGGTGAGGCTGGAACTTGTGCCCTGTAGTGGGGGAGTAGCGGTGTGTCGGTAGCGGCTGCTGGGAGTAGAGCTCATGCGGCACGGGGTCGGTGGAGCTCAGGCAGCTGTAATAAGTGCTGCCAGTATTGTTGTGGTGTCGAAGCAGTGGTGGCTCCAGTTTTATTTGTGGTTTAAAGGCAGCGCAGTGGTGATTTCCAGTTTAAGACACTGGCTGTGGGCATTGGGGTGTGATGACTGCAATTTTGTCTTTTAAAATACAGTGATCACTGTTTGTGCAGTGCCGTATGTGTGTGTGTTTGAGCATGCAGTTTGTTTTTGTGAGCTTTGTGTGCTTGAACTGTGGGTTAGAGGTGTACTGTATGTGTTGTGCTTTGCGTGCTTTTGGAAGTGTATTGGCAAAAGTTTTGTATGTGTAGGTTGTGAAAGAATTTTGAAGTTTAGTTACACCTGGAATGGTGGAGAAATTAGGAACGCTTGTATTGTTTTTGAATAGTGTGAGCTAGGCTGTGTGTGTATATTTCGACCCTGTGTATAAGCAGTAGAATTGTGGAATGTGGAACTGTGTAAGTTTTGTGAGTAAATTGTTTGAGAGTGTTTGGTTGTGATATGTGAGTCTTTTAGAAGTAAATAAAGAGGAGGTTTTGTTGCTGTGCAGTTTGTGTGGTGAACGCTTTGGGGAAAAATAAAAAAAAGAAAAAGTGAAAAAGAGAAAGAATAAATAAAATAATAATTTATCTTGGTCAGTGGCTCAAGCTATAGAAGAGTTATTTTCTCATGTCCTAATCACCAACCTGTCTGGAGAGTGCAGCCTCCAGCCTGTCCACAAATGCTGTGTATGATTCTGTGGGGCCCTGCTGAATTGCGCTATAAGAAATGTTTCCATTCTTGTCTGTCACTGGGATCCATCACAGTGCCACAATAGAAATGTGGGAAATGAGGCCATAAATATCCTGTAGATAGCCTGTCTGTGATCTGTGTGGGCATACACACCCTCACTGAATAACTGAAGAAGCACAGGAGGATCCCTTCACTGCAGGTGTTCTGCCTGAGCCGTGCAGGATTCAACAGTAATCTGAGCAACAAACCATATATTGTGTGATAGTTAAGATCATTTTCATTATATTTTTCCAAACAGCAGGCCTAAGAACATAGGCAGCATTTATGCACTCTAAGTAAGCAATAACAAGTTCAGAAGTCACACCACTTTCCTGCTCCAGTCTCCACAGTTCTCTGACAATAGTGTAGTCTATGTGTTTGTAAACTGCTGTTTGACCTTGTTCATAAACAACTGGGTACATAGTAAAAAATGCGGAGTTTGGTCTCTGATTCCCTGTGGAGTAAAACTGTATTACTTGAACATTCATGGGTGCTGGCTCTGAAGGATAGGGTGATTCAGGATAGCTATCCCAAGTAATCCTTTCGTCAGTGGGTGGGATGGCCATGGAGCTGGCCAGTGGCTCTTGGCAAGTGCTGGTGGGGGGAGGAGGGTTGTGTCGCTTGGGACCCAGAGAAAGGGCGGGGGAGCTTCAGCATTCTGGGAGACCAGCAAGGGTGGGGGGCTACAAAGAGCCGGTGGTGCATTCATTCCCCAGGGACCAATACTGGGTTAGGGGCCAACACTGGGAGGGAGCTTCAAAGAGCCAGAGGGTAAAAGCATGCCCGGGGGCCAATACCAGCTGACGGGGTGCCATTAGCAAAGCAGGCATGGGGGCAAGTTGTACTGTGAAGGGGGAGGCGGTGAAGGATCTGCTGTGGTAGGCAGTGAAGAAGCGGCAGTGAGGGGTGCAGGCAGTGGAGGAGTCCCAGCACCTGCAAGGCCTCTGATGTGGTGGAGGTGTTGTCTTTTACATGTGTGGAAATCCAATTCAGCAAAGCAAGTAATTAGCCTTGGGAATGTCTCTGGATGTTGTAAAACCACTGTAAATTCTCTAGGGCCTGTTTTTTCTCAACTGTCAGCTTTGCTCCCAAGATGTTCCACATTGCTCACTTCAAATTGATGAATGCCCACTCTGAGATGTAGTAAGGTGAAGGTGGGAGTGTCTGGGTCTGCTGCCTCAGTCTGCTGTCGGGATCTGCTGCTTGGGGCCACTGCTGGGATCCTCTGCCTGGGTCTGCTGTCAGGATCTGCTGCCTGGGACTGCTTCTTGAATCTGCATTACTTCCATCTCAATCAAGGGCCCTCTTGGCTGTAGGTTGATCTTCCACCTTTGGGTGCCAGCTGTGGGTGAGGATACATAGTGATGCAGAGCCCCCAGGCAGGTGCACAGGAGAGATGCTTTATTGAAAAAAACAGGCCTTTTAAAGAAGTTAGCCCATTATCAGTTACATAGTTTTAAAGCATAACAAACTGTTGGGGGCTGGGGGGTTTTTACTCTTTCCCTCAGTGAAGGTGGAGAATTTTTCCCATTATCATGCTAAGGAAGCTGGCTGGGCAGCTCCCTTAGCTTGTCATTGCTCAAGACAAAAGGGATGGGTGTGGATTGTCTCACTGGCTCAATGGCTGGGGCAGGGATTTGAGGGTTCAGGCTTCATGGTCATTGATTGCTTTTTCCTTCCTGGGGGACACTCTCTCGCTGGCCCAAATGTGGAGGACAGAGGTTTTTCTCTGCGATGGGACCTGCCCTGCACTCCGGTGCTGCTACAGCCTCCTGCTTCTGAGAACAGTGCTGAGAACCAGGACCCAAACGGTGAGCGGAGTCTTCCTTCACCCTTCTCCCACCTCGGACATGGCCCTGCCGCTGCCACCTTGCTTCGCTGCTCCTGCTGCTGCTGCCACAGCCGC